TTCTGCCCTTGGAAACTACTGAGTCTGCATACTCCGTAAAAGTCAAACTTCTGGAGTAAGTGATTCCGAGGTCTTTCACAGTGTTGTATACCTGCAGTGCAATATCACCCAAGTGTAGCTACTGAATGAAAACCCTCAAGGATTTCTTCTTTAAGAATGAACTTGTTGAGCTACTTCCCCTATTGTCCCAATAATGCTTTCACACACCCATCAAGCACGATTTTCATTTCTTCCAGAACACTTTATTATACCTATGAATGAACACAAAAATTCAGCGGATAACCTAACGGGCATTACTTGTAGGGGATGTGAAATCTTTACCTTACCCCGAAGCTTGACACTATTTGGGGTGAAGAAGAGATGGTGAGAAACATTGTCAAAGATTTTTCGCCGCTAAATGTAGTGACCACATCTGTAAGAATGAAATCATTAGTGAATTCAGGGATAAATATTATTATTATTGTCACTGGCTACAAGATCCGGACATCACATGTTTAGCTGCAGCGAAGTGCGTGACGTACCGATACGGCTTCAAGACCCTAAGTAACCCAAGTAATCGGAAGAGAGGAATGTTACCCGACCCTCATGAAGACCGAAACCGATTCGCTTATCAGGGAGTGAAACGTCATTTGCGATCATCCTTTAGAAAGGCATCACCCTCCTTCGTCGATATTTTAAGGAATAGGTTGGATAGCTACTCAGTGAGATGTAGACTGAGCTCTTACGCTTGGTATGCTGATAAAGTGGAGAGAGTAAACAGAGGTGGCACCATTTGACATTTCCGTTAATTTTCATCGTGAAATTCGTCGGTTGCTGCATATACCAAGTTTCTGCCCGGCTTTGAGGATTTACCTCCCCCCATTTGGTATCTTCCGACTAAAATAAATATCCCACTCTTAATGACAATTCCCTATGCTATTTCAGCTATCCCTTATGCCATTCTACTCGTTAATTTGCTGTCTTACCATCGCATACACAGGCTCCTACTTACTACCATAATGTTATTTTATTTCTGTCAAGCGTTGACTTTCTTTGTCCACACCCAAGACCACCTATTACTCTCCCATCCAGTCTGAACTACTCTATCATGACTCAAAATTTACAGATTTTAGTACAGCGTTTACACCTTTCGGTGACTGACTGACGCTTAAGCACACAATGGGTTTACAAGAGCTCTCAAAGGGGAGTGACATGATCTGTTACATCACAGTCTACCGAGGACTTGTGTTTATTCCATGGGACTTAGAAGCGGGAGTGAAGAAATCATTCTATTTATGCTCGTTAAAGGGACACTGGATACATATGTCTCTACCGCAGAATTCTACTTTGCTCTGACGACTCTAATTTACGGAGAACTAAGACATCCGTAGTGGAATCAAGCGGCCCACAAAGTGACTTCAGATTGCTTTGGGACTGAGTGAATGGACTGTCATTCAAGTTGGATAAACGTTAAACCATGTTTCCCGTACTACCGGCTGGCAGAGAGTATCCTAATCTCTTTGCTGCACACATCCTTCTCACATGACCATAGGGAAAGACCTGAGACCAATAATAGATGACTGGGTAGACGCCAGTTACAATTATCCAGGAGATGCCTTCGGAGCCTGCCCAGTAATACACTTTAAGCCCAGACAGCTAGATGCTTCCAGTTCTGGAACTCGTTCTGAAGCTCTACAAGATCTACCTACAACTCCACTTAGAGGTTCCGACGTATCTACGACGAAATATGAGCCTCCCGAAGAACGTTCATAGGTGAGTCAAGGAGAGTGTTTTAGGGGTGCGGTGAACACCCCTTGAGTATTGACTGCAGGACCTAGGCCTACAATCCATTAGTTACCGAAGGTTACGTGATGACTTACAAATGGCTTTTAGGATTTGTCCTGGTGCGAACTTGACAGACGCAAAGACCAATCACTAATTATTCGAACTTGTTATATACCCACGAATACGAGACCAAGGTAGAACACGATAGCGTAGTCGGATGGAATAGTATATTTGGATGGTTATGCCAAAATACCGATGCGTTCCAACTAACTGGCTAGAGAGTCGAATACGAGCAATGCAACGTAACACGACAGCGTGCCAAATGGCCAGGATGCTTGACCGGGTGCCTTCAGCTTAGCGAGTCCAGTTAAACTATCAAGGTCAGCATCGATGTCGAAAGTCGTCAAACCCTAGGCTACTGATTTTGGGGAAGTGTATGACGCTACAGATCACTCCCCCCCTAGTGGGTTCGTGAGGACCCTAAGACGATACCAGCCGGAAGTAAAAACCCAGTGGTTTCTCCACTGGTAAAACTCTTCCGATGGGCTGACTGCGTGAGGTGGCCCCTGGTTGTCTGAACCTTATTCTAGGGTGTCGTGGCGATTAAATAAATAAAATACAATAAATGGAATTGTACGTCGGTCGCGGTCATCTGTTCCTTTCGACGTTCCGTCCAGTGCTCGTTGCACCTGGAATATAAATAAAAGTCTTTAATACCACGAAAACGTTGCGTAAAAATGGGAATTATTTATATATCAACATATCGAAAAATAAAAATTTACGCTTATCTTTACCGTTTTTTTTTAAAATTTCATTACATGGTAAATAAAAATTGATATAAAAAGGCAAAGTATACGAGGGTTTGTATTGATGTATCGGGTAGGAGTCCGGAGTTGTTTTGGCGTTGAGCCTTCGGTAATCACCGGTTGGACGCCAGTCACTGCTATCCTTTTGGGAACCATGTGCAATGGCGATGCCCAAGGATTGTTCGACGGTCTGATAATGCCCAGGTCGAGCATGTGGTCGAATTCATTTTTCGCCGTTTGGAGCTTATCGGGGGCTAGACGGCGCGCTTTGGATGCCACAGGTGGACCTGTGGTTGTGACGTGATGCATAACATTGCTGGTTATGCACGGAAGAGTGTGCTTCGGTTGCTGTAACTCTGGATATTTCTCCAGAACTGCCTGGTAGGACGCGTCGTCTGATTGTTTAGTCCTAACGATGGCTAAACTCGGACCTACATAGGTGGTGCCGCCAATGGATAACTTTGTGCTGTTATCTATCAGTCGTCGACGGCGAGCATCTACGAGTAGATCGTAATGGTTTAGCAAATCTATGCCAATGATGGGCATAGAGACGTCTGCCAGGAGGAAAATCCAGTGGATAGGTTTGCGTAAACCTAAGTTGAGGTAGGCATACCGTCTCCCGAATGTCGCGATTGCCTTGCCGTTGGCTGCTTGAAGATTGAAGGATGGGTCAAGATGACGCTCCTTTGTCGTTGCTGGAAGAATGCTAACTTCTGCGCCGGTGTCGACGAGGTAGCGGACTTTCGTTTTAATATCCGTGACGTAGAGCAAACGGCTTTTTCCGCCGGCTACGGTTGCCGTGAGCACGTGCCGGCGTGACCGTTTCCCGAGTTCGGGTCCTTCTTAAAACGGCATGGTTTACGACATTTTCTGGCTTCATCCCCGTAAGTGTTATGAAACCAGCACCATTCAGGGTTTTCCACCCTGTTGGGTTTCGTTTTAGGGCTACCACACGACTTGCTGCGATGCGCCAAGGTGCGTTTCCGTGAAGTGCTACGTGATCTAGGACTTCGAGATCGTAGCAACCGTCTCACAGAGTTGCACAACTTGGTCACCTCTGAATCCTGGCGCTCTGTTTTGTCGCAGATAGAATATACGTTGGAGACTGGTCTGCTGGATATCTCCAGTATTTTATCTGCTGAGGCTGCCAGGTCGTCGAGTGGGACTGACTGGAGTGTCACCAACACGGTTTGCACCGGTTGTGGTAGTTTCGAGAGAAATAGTTCTCGGAAGAAACCATCGTCAAATGTTCGTGCACCGATTACTTCTCGCATGCGTGCGAGGACTTCAGTAGCTGAGTGGCTGCCTAGCTCGATGTTACGAAACAATTCGTCTAGACGTTGGCGATCTGTGAGATCGCTTTTCTTCAAGAGTGCGGCCTTTAGAAGTGCATAAGGGTCACTTACTTCAGGATTAAACATGTTTGCTGTAACATACCTGTTTAATTCTCGCGGTAGTGAACGTATGACAGCAAGAAATCGAGAATGAGGATCTGAGACACCCTGTTCTCGAAAATCTGCCTCGGCATACAGAAACCATGTTTCTGCATTGTCTGGCCAATATGGCACGAGTTGGATCGTGTTCGTAGTCGACTTAATACGAATAAGCTTGGGAGTGTGGTCGGACATGAGAAAGTGTAGTAAATGGATATATAAATGTTATCGAAATGAAAACAATAAACAAATATAAAATGGAACAGGCTCACCAATTCAATACTTGTTATTGGTCGGGATATGTGATCACGTTTGATCACGTCGGGCTCACCAATTTAGGATTTGTCCTGGTGCGAACTTGACAGACGCAAAGACCAATCACTAATTATTCGAACTTGTTATATACCCACGAATACGAGACCAAGGAAGAACACGATAGCGTAGTCGGATGGAATAGTATATTTGGATGGTTATGCCAAAATACCGATGCGTTCCAACTAACTGGCTAGAGAGTCGAATACGAGCAATGCAACGTAACACGACAGCGTGCCAAATGGCGAGGATGCTTGACCGGGTGCCTTCAGCTTAGCGAGTCCAGTTAAACTATCAAGGTCAGCATCAATGTCGAAGTCGTCAAACCCTAGGCTATCGATTTTGGGGAAGTGTATGACGCTACAGGCTTACAAGTTACCAAGCAGTCCAAATTACCAGGCAGTAGAGTTTTGCAACTCTTGTAGTAACTCAGAGATTATCGTCTATCGGAGGGCGGAAACCAGTGTGCTTTCGTACCAACGTTCGCCCGACTTTGCGGCTCCTGGATCTCATTGCCTGATGAGATTACCACCGCTACTTCTGAGGATAGCTTCAAGAATAGGTTGAACAGTTATACAGAGAAGCATAGCCGAACAGAAGTGACCGAGCCTCAAGACCTAGAAGCGACAGCTTGAAAAATACGAGTTCCCTATACTCTCACTCTTTTTGTTGGATATTGAATGTCGTGGAATCTTATTGAATCGAAGGTCAATATGCTTTTACGACCTTCGTATAGATCTGCGGTTTGTTGCTGCATAAAACCGAGTAATTGCAGAATCTTCACATCAGTTAAGTTCAATATTAGAGCGATTGAAAATAGTGATGCTGAGTTGTGGGAGTTAATACAAGAAGAGAGAAAGCGACAGCAGTCATCGTTAGCTCTAATTGCGTCGGAAGTAGGCTTCCTGGGAAATATATCTTAATTATCTCCAGAATTTCACATCTCAAGGCATTTTAGAATGTCTTGGCTCATGTCTCACAAACAAATATTCTGAAGGGTACCCCTATTGTAGGTGAGTTCTTTGACAGTTGTCGAAGTCAGTCATGGCTTCCTGTATGTTTATTCTTCATTATCCGGAGAAAATATTTTCTCCAGTCAACATATGTTGACTAAGTGTTTGGACGAAATAAAAGTATGCTTTTCAACTTGACCTTTTGTATTTCTGCAGAATAACTGTATGATTTGTAGCCATTATTTAATGTTACCCAGGGCTACTATGGTAAACCTAGGGCTTAATTTGTATACTTGTGACTACCATTCGACCATCTTAAGCAACTAACTGTAGACCAGTTATTTACTTGAACGTACTGTCTATCTATGGGTCCCCTAGTGTTAGGCCTGCTGAAGTCGGGGGACTGCACAGCCGAGATTGAACAGAACGCGGCGTAACTATTCAATAGGGATCATTTCTTTTGGCAAAATTGTGGGAATGTTTATTGATGTGGATTTATTTCCAAATACATATATCGTAAGTTTTTGTACGCTATAGTTCTCTTGTACTCAGTCAACATTCCTATATGAGTACATGCGATAAATTCCCTCTGATGTTTGTTTATAATAATAAGTCGTTTTGAGTAGAGTGGTTTTGTGGTCGACATCTAATCACCGCATTATGTAGACCTCGCTCATACTGTCGACTGAACAACCTCGTCGCGGAAGCATACTGATTCAACCTTCCTTTTTACACTTCTGCGCCCCACTAATTGCAATTTCTCTCATTGCAGTAGCCCATGATTCATCACTCTTATCCACCTAAATATTTATGTCTTCCGTTTTACATATTATTTTGTCGGAACAGCATACACTACAGTGTGTTTATGAAACCCTCCTTAGACCTAAGATCACTCCAAAATACTTAACAGCAAATGTAACTGAAGTGCCGTTAACTAACTCGTTATTAATGTATGCTAGTGTTTATTTTACAGGTCATTGCGTTTATGGATGTAAAATTTACAATAACTTAGTAACTAAGTGCCTTATTTTACAGTATGCGTTAGTAATATTGAGGGGTTCTGATATGTTCGGGTATTCATTAAGACTTATGCTGACATGCATGCTGACAATTAACATTGTATACAAGTTCCTGATAAGTTAGATCCTAGTTTGGTAGGCTTATTGTAAGCGTACTCGGTTGGCTATGAAGGAAAAATAGTGGTAGGATGGGTATTGGTGAACGTACCAGTCATCACCTAAATCTGTTCCAGTGCCACTTTCATATATATTGTGCCGAAAAAATCAGGAGTATCATACTTATTAAATTAAATCCGTGCTGTTATATCGTGATCTACGTGGTGTTTGTGGGATTGTATAATTTCTGTAATACAAGGTAGTTCTGTCGCCAATACTGCGTAATCAAAAAGATTTTGGGGTCAGTATTAGTTTACAGTCGAGTTGAACTAATAAACATAGTGTTGGGGTAACCTAACACCAAATGTCACAAAACTGTGTTAGTCGTTTAGCGGCCCTCTACCGTTACTTTAGGATTAGTCCTAGGTTCACTAAATTGGCGCGGGAAAATTGTTGACTGGAATTTATGCAGATTGTTACTTATGCACTTCATTTCTCTGTCTGGTCGACTGTAAACTTTCTAACCGAAATCAGTAAGCATATACTCTGGTCATTTTGGTTGATATTACTTTATATGTAAGGGTGAGAGTGAAACTCATGAACTTTCAGATAAGAAAAGTTTATTTGATTCAGCATACCAATGCGTCGCATGATTCAGTATTATTTACTTGTTGATTTATTAGTCACAATTTACTGCCAACAATCATATCAAGCTAGCCACCTAGTTGCCCAACTTCGTTATGATAGTCCTCGTTAAAAGCTAACAAAGTAGAACCAAATAAAATGCCAGGAAGTTCTGTCATCCAGTGAAAGAGTCTAATATGGTGTAATGTAAATTCTATTCTAACTTATATTTCTGCAGGCTGCAGTGTACATAGAGTGCAAAAGTTCTTCACCCCACAGAAATTCTAAGTGAGCAACTATGAGTATTTCCGTAATATTACCACACCCGACCAAAAGCCAGCTTTAAAACTAACAGCGGCTTTGAACAGCTGGTCTCTTTTCGTGTTTGTGATGTCACTGGCTTGGTTTCGCATCTTCTTGTTTCACAAAGTTTCTACAAAGTCTTTACACCTGAGGGGTACGTGATGTTCTTTTCTTATGAAAATCGAACGTTAGGACAGTTTATTTAGATTGCACAAAAGAGCGTCCTCATGTATAAAAAGTTTATTTAGTCTTACAGTATCTATAATATAAATTCACTCTTCCTTATGATGGCACGTTTTTGATAACCATACTAAGGCTAGTGATCTTCAAAGATATGTTAACTTGTAGATGCTCAAGGACCAAGGCTGAAATAACGACAAACAGTCTTCAGAAGTCTAGTTTTGACTCCACATCTATCTTGCCAGGTGAAGTTTTGAAGGTAGTCGAGCGGAAGTCTCAGTAAAGAAAGTAAATGCTTGCAGTTAACCCAGCTAACTTCTTTCCTTAAAACCAAATTAATCTTCAGTGGAGATAAGTTCTAAAACAGCCTTTCATATTGTACTGGTTTAAAGTTTATAACAAATTCAGGAAATTATACTAGTACTCCATTGATATAGACGTCCTCACTTAATATGATTATGTCTTGTGCACAAAAATCAAAGGATTCCTAAGGCCAGGATAAGGTAGGGGAATTTCTTTCTCCAGACTCACATAGATGTGACTGTGAGACTGAAATAGGAGTGGTCAACCTTCTTGAAAAACACCACTCAATGTAACCACCTCACGTAGCTACTCCCAATGCATTCGATTAAGGTTTTGTAGTGTGATGTAATATCTAGCCATGACGCGTTGATCAATGAAGTTAAATACTGTTTCTGAATGAAGAACATCAGTAGGCAAAGGGGCTATTTCATAGTGTTCAGAGTCGCTGGGTCACACTTCACGTCACACTATAGTAGGCCCGAGTCCTGCTTGAAGATGAAATGGCTGATATTTACTATCTTGAGTTTTCGTGCAATCATGTTTCCTGAGGCTGATGGGTACGTAAAATTTACTATCCCAAAATATGAAACTGGTAGGATAATTGACTTCCCACTAGGGGGTTTGTTTTTAAATTTTCGTTTTTCTCGCCACAAATCGCTGTAAATGTGAGGCTCTTGACAATCACCACTATACATAGGTATTGCTTTTCGGGGATGTAGTAGTCAGGTTTGATTGTCTGAAGTCTCAACCAAGATAGAAAAAGTATTGTTAAATATCCAATTATTTTATCCTCTCCCTTGAATTTCTAAGGCTTTTGATTACTTTCTTCCTTATTCCTTTATCTTTCACCTTGTTGCCTCTTTTAATTTGCCGATATCGTGCGTTGCCACATGGTTCGTTACGCACTAGTGTCACCTATGTTGATACTGGTTGACTATTGGGTGGGGTTCAGTTCATGAATTCCCCTGTAGTGAGGATTGTGGATGTATGATTTGTGGTAGTTTCAGTCATATGCCCGTAAATATATAGTCTATTTTTTGTATATCAGAGAGTTAAGTTGCTTTTACGTTCCAGTATATCTGCTGTGGCCAACTATTTCACTTATTATGTTGCTGAGATGTGGCAGTTTGTTTCACTGTGTAAATAGATTAAGTCCATAGATGATAGACCAACAAATCAACGCAGAACTTTGGATACGGGGGTGTCAGTTCAAGGTGCCACTCTCAACAGAAGTACATAAGGAAGTGGACAGAAAGAGGATAGTGTCAATGTGGATAGCTTATGAGAGTTGGGTTTAGAAATAAATGAACGTTAGTAAAAGTTTCTAAATATATCGAAGATGATAAAAAGTATATGCATCTGTCATATTGTGGTTGATTTTGAGCTATATCACCGAGAATCGTTAACTTTTGAGTTCCCCAGCCTAATCACACTTGTTGTGTGTGAGAGCTACTGACACTATCGGAAGACCATACGTCGATAGGTGGGACCGGGTTCGAGCCCGTGAGCCAGTGGTTGGAAATCAAGTGGCTAGACCAATGGACCACGTCTCCATAATCAATTACCGGTTTAGACTAGTGTTAGAGGACTACTTCTAGTATTCTGGATAGTCTCAGTTATTCTAGTCAATCATTTTCCGTCTAAATACTTGAACGTTTTCAGCATCAAATTCTCAGGTGTTGATGCTTAACATCGTTTCATGTTTTAAACAGCTTTTTCAACTTTGACGACGGTTGGAAGACTGAGATATACGTTTTATTCAGTTTCAGGTAAGATGGTAATAAGTTGAAGCGTGGTTTTGCGCCAGCAGGATTCCTCTTCAGATTATTGCGCCGAATGTTCAAACCTCATGTTCTAAGTTTGTCAGGGACGTATCTTTTTTGATAATCTCATCGACTATAGACTTTATGATATTTCTTATTCATTTCAATAATCTACAGGCATCACCCAGTACGGATACATCCCTCATCTTTTTCACTACTTACTGCTGCTTACTGTTACTACAAAGACTTAAATTCACTTTACACCTGAGCTGTTTTCGATGCTCATCGTGATCAGCGCCCAATCAAACGAATCTTTTCTCATCAGTCAGTCTAATTAAGACTTCAGATATCCACTGGCTTTGGTGAAGCTTTGGTTCTATCTGACTGTTTGTCTTGATCACTGTTTTTGCAGCAAACCGAATATTGATCCAGGCTTCATTCAAGTAAGAATCACTCTCATACTCTGTTACTTATCTGGTTATTTCCTCCTTGAAAATACTTCACTTTTTGTCTACCAGCTGAACACAGGGAGACCTCACTGGTGTTTACCTCTTGCCTCCCCGAAAACGCAGACACACATTCCCCAACTAACTCAAGATTGGAGCCCAAGTAGATGCTTCAAATCGAGTGACAGTCTTCGACTTATCCTTTCTAGCTATGACTCACAGCGATATTATCTGTCTGTGTCCACCGTTGACTTGATGGCAGCGGAAACTTCGGGGACAGTCTTTTCCTGATTATTTGAGGTACACGCTGATCATGAACACTAAAATATCAGAACAAAATGGTAAGAAAAGATCACTGTTTTCGGTTTATTGCCATGGGGAACTTTGATACCTCAAAGATGCCTTTCCAACTGCTTTATCTTCTGTAACTGAGTATATATGGTTTAAGTATTTGGCTTTTAAACGATGAATCTCGAGTTCAAATTTGTCTGCACCTACTTCGACCTGTAAAACTGGGTAGTATCATTAGCCCTCATAACATGTATGGCTCATAACCTAGTACAAAAACATGTACTTGGTTCGCTTGTTATATTTTTACCACTGAAATACTGAAGCTGTCTGCCATTTGATTCGAGCGGAATCCAAATCCACCCAGCAACTTTGTTCATATTCGTTCAGTAGGCAGTGAGCGACACCTCTTGGCGGCCCAAACGTCGTTAGGTAGAGCGGTGTCTGAACCGGCGACCTATTATTTGAAAGTCAACTCGCCAAACCCATGAGCAACAACTTTACGGAGTTATCTGTGCATATGGCTATACCTGAAAGTTTTGGTCTTTGTAGTAAACTGATTTCGTCGGAACCGCAGTCAGGGGGTGTATAGGCGGAGACTACAAATGTGCACTGATGAATGCAACCGTTCTTTTGTCTATCCAGCTAGACAACCCAAAAATGACTGTCGACTGGTGTCTGGTCGAGTAATGCGCTTTCTGCTCTAGTACTTAGTTCCAGTTCATGGGAACTAAACTTTCCATATCCGAACACCTACAGTGGGGAATTTATCATCTCCAAAGCATTGACCAAAAGTCATCAGGTGAATGGCCAAATGAATAAACCAAACTGAATTCTCAGTACTAATTATCTTCAGAGCTACTTTTAAATCGTCATGTATATGAATATGAGCGTCACTTTCGTAAAGATTAATTACTAGTAAGCAAGCCTTTTGCTAATAGTATGACAAAGTGGCATTTATTAATTAACTGAACATCGGCTTACTTTCAGCAATCGATACAATAATGAGAACGTGCATTTTATTCACTTATTCTAAGTAGTAGACCATTTAAGGCAATCAAAGAGACTTTACTGCATTACTCTTACTGTTTTTATCCCTACAGTATTTTGCAACTGTTTTCTATCCGCCTTCGGCTTTGTCAATTTTAGGCATCGTTCGTTACAGCCTTGGAGTTTTAATTTGGGAAACGCGTTAAATGAGTACTGTCTAGTCCGTTCGATAAAATGTTAGTTCTGTATACATATGGATATATATTCATATAAATCACGTCGAAATTCTCTTTGCAGATATTATGGGGGGAATGAAATTATAGATACTGTGGAAACGCTGGCACAGTCGAGGTTGCTGAACCTCTTTGGTCTCAAAACACATGAAGAAACACTCGATAGTGCTGCATGGGGTGTTAATGTTCAGCCGTACAGCGGATCACCAGCAAACTTTGCCGTGTATACTGGCTTACTTAATCCACATGACCGGTTAATGGGTCTTCATTTACCGGATGGAGGCCATCTTACACATGGTTTTCAAACATTGTCAAAGAAGATAAGCGCAACTTCTATATTTTTTGAATCTATCCCCTATCACCTCCATGTAAGTCCTCACTCTTCTGTTTGTAATACATTTTTTCAACATTTGATCACATTTTTATCATTTTGAAAATGTATAGGATTTCCTCTCAAAATTCTCATCATGTTGTGATACTAATCTACACATCTATTTACCGTCCTATAACTTAGACTCTAAAATCAAACTTGGAAGACTTTCTATGGCTTCGGATTTCTAAATTTTGGAACATTGTTAACCTATCATTTCGCACGTTTTGTACACTAGATTGATAATTTCACTCAATTGACTCTGAGATAATATTTATGGATTGTTTAAGCGAAGTAAAAGGCACCAGTGCATATATTGCAGACCAATAGTTCAGGCAATTATAGACTTAATCAACATTTTAACATGATATTACTGATGAAATATCCAAGTTATCATACAGCACATAAGTTTAACAAGGTAGAAGTTACCATGAGGGCAAATAAAAAATCAGAATGATATTACTAGAAGTTATAAAAAGCAATTGGGCGAAAATAGTAGATGATAGGGAGAGTCAAGATACTTAATATTGTGATTCAACTGAAGATAGGAGGTGAATGCATCTGTACCGCGACAAAATACTTTGAGCTACGTCAGTTAGTCTCCAACTATCAATTTTGTCTATTCCTCAGATCCCAATCAGATAGTTTTCATTTCCCTAAACAGCTTGGAATAGCAGTTAGAAAGTACACTGATTAATGTCATGATTTACTCTCGCCAAACTTAGCGTGTTCCTACTTTAACCAACGGCATTCTTGAGTAGGTGGCAATTTGGCACGTGTGACACATTCCAACCACTTCGCGTGTTCAATGTGTATAGATTCACTATCTGACTCATCTCTTTTGAAACATAAGCCTGTTCTTTAAGTTGTCCACTTGATCATTGCATCAGATGAATATTTCGCGGCAACCCCAGGCGGCACAAGTTAACCACCCAAACCTTTTTATCCGTTTTGAAAGTTCGTTGGCCATCCGCTAACCAGGGTTAATGCGGCTTTTCGGGTAAGCAAAGTAGTCAGTGCACCCAATCATTTCACTTCCAACTATCATATAGGTTATTCATATATATCCGTCCCAGGACAACAATATGGATTTTAGAGGTGACAGATACATTGGAGTCATTCTCAGGTTATCATTCAAAGTGCGCAAAAGTCTTTTGTTAGCGTCTTCACCCAATATGACTCTGTTACCTATGAATTCTCCTTATGAGCAGCCAATGAATTTCGCACGGTGAGGTAAATACTCATAAAAGCGAGGAACTAGTTTGGTGGATAAGCATGCCTTTCATAAATCCGGACAGAAATGGAAACAGTGTACATCCTTGACCGATACTACTCGAGGTAGACATCACTTGAGATGGTTTGCCGTAAGCTGAATCTTTATATCTTCATCCGTTGGCCAGTCCTATCGTTTTCATTGAGGCCACAGAGTATTCTAGAATGTTGTAAGATTTAAAGCTGCTGGGTTGTTGTTGGGATAGTTCATCTGTATAAAACGTAATTAAAAATATAAGCGATAATTCGTCCTATCTGGTTACGTTTCCATGAATTTCGGTCAAAATGCAACCAAGGTTGAATTTTACCATGAGCCAATGAAATATACGTAACAGATATCGAGGTACTGGCACGTTAATTAGTTGTTTAGACTAGACATCTATACACTGTGAAGGATTGGTCCTGTCGTGAAAATTAAATTACTTGTCCCACTTTTGATGATCAGGATCGTTGTCTACAACTTTGAAAGGATTTCAATTTATTTTTCCTCTTTAATAATCTTCTACGCTGCCATTGTCAGTGTCCTATCTGGTATCTCCCAGTTACTACATACCTGGACTCAAACAGATTATATTGAAATCGGCATGTGTTAAGACTACCGTAGTGGCTTTTTACGTCTTAAATCCAACCTACGGCTCTCTGCTCAGCAAAATCTTCACCTCTAAAAAAAAGGCCTTATCGATTCACTTGCATCCAGTCTTTTAACTAAACGGTAGCCATTTATAAAACTAACTGTTGATCCGAGCCTTACCTGTGTGTATAAGAGGTTAGGAAAAATGATGAGTAAAACCATTTAAATCTCCAAGGAATGCCACAATCATAAAGACTATATATGTGTCCCTTGATTTTCATCTGTCCATTTCCGTGTGCGATGAGTGTAATATTTTCCGCAAGCCTCTTAGTCAAAAACAGTACAAAACTACGTAGGAACTATTGACGTTTATGGTCACATTGAGAGATCGAGGTGCAAACAGTTTTTTTAATAGAGTGGGAACAACACTCACTGAGAGGCAGGTACATTCAGCTGACGAGTCCCAAATAGGATGAAATGCGCATCGTGGATTCCACTGCTACCCACTACCCATCGTTACTATACAGAGTGGAAGTCTGTTTCAGTTCATTTGGGTTATTTCGGTTGCATTTTATACCGTTTTGATAACAATCGCTTACAATGTGGTCTTATATTGTGTCGATGGCAGCAATCCGATAAGTGTTCGAATTTATTGTTTAAAACTGTTACATCATTTCCTTAGTTGATTAAATTTTCAAACTGGACCTTTATATCGAGTTTTTTACCAGTTGTTAAAGCATTACAAAATCTAGGACGCAGAGATTAATGCCTACATTTGAATACGAGTAAAAGATATACTGAAGTAATTGAATTTGTATGTTTCCGGTGCTTCTGGAAAATAAAATTATATCTCTGTTGACAAAAGACATTTCATCAACTTGTGACTGATATTTTCTAATCGACATTTTAAGCTGTTGTAATGTAGTCTATAAAATTAACGTGCTCGTTTGTTGGTAGATCGAATAGTGGATTGAACTCTCAGTGACTGATTGTGTTCCAATTCAAGTAATCGAGGTTTGACTTCATCGATAAGATTCAGTGTGTGGTACTTCAGGGAAAGGTGACTTGGATGAATACGATTTTGACTCAGAATTTTCCGATATTGTAGGCTAGAAGATCCAGTAGAGCTATTTAGAAAGAATAACGTAATCTATCACATATCATGTAATGATTCTGAGGTCCAGTATGTAAGTTAAAGCAACCGATCAGTGTCAGTCAGAATAACAGGGCACATTGGTAAACCCTATTAAGATAAGTAATTTAGAGAAAAACTGGGTTATCACTCTGTATTCAGTGACCCATAATCAAAAAGTGGGGTGGGCTAGAGTGATACTTGATCATAGAATCTTTGTTCATTGAATCAACAGGAATGATTTATCACATATTACAGAAATCTGGAAAATTTTACTACCTTTTAGATAAAGGAATGAAGGACCGTTCGACCATATGAAGGAAGTTTGAAAGTCGTATGATTACTTTGACGTGAATATTAATAATAAATTCTCGAAGCGTCATCCAATAAATTCTGTTTCACTGTATGCTATATCAATTAAATAAACTATCTAATGTGAATTTTGTGATATGGCTTTGAATATTCCCCTTGACTCATACAGTTTTCAAGAAAACGTATCCTTATGTGTCTAAAGAGACACTGTAATCGCTATGAGTTGTGGTGAAAATGTAAAGTGGTAAAGAAGGCGTTTACATTAGGCAGTAGTTGGAATTTGTTTAGGCTGATTGATGTCACTCACCTGAAGTAAAGAATTATTTGTGAGACTATCACTGCCGAAAATGAATGCCTCATAAACTCTCAAGAAAGACGGAAAACTTAGGTAAAGCAGTTTTCGGCGAAGTTGAGCTACAACTAGATGTCGGTTAACGTTCGATACAGTTTATATTTGTGTAAGTCACAGTGTGTTGGAAATAAAATAATTCCAACGTTTCGCACAGCAGTCCGGTTCCAGCTTCTTCAGGGGTTATTCATCTGAAAAAGCCCTAACCAGATATTCGCAATATTACTCGGTCAAATCTTGACTATATTTCATATAAATTACTTTGCAATCATATCAAACTGTCACAGAAACTATATAGGTGTCAGTTGTTAACCCACCAGCTCCGATATAGTTAATGGAATAGCACCAGTGTGTGACCAACCAAATTCAATTTAGTTATCGAAAATTTAAAAGACAAGGTAGTAGTAGGCTTGACAGATATCATTAACGAGCTTAATAGTGGAACAATTACAGTAAAATATCAGAGTACCTATGGCATAAGTGACATAATTCACTTCACTTCTTCTAATCAAGTTTCAGGAGGGAAAATGCTAGTTTTCGTAATTTCTTTTTGCTCATATGATGAAAATTTCCTTGCTTTTGCATCAGAAGCGCTTGAAGGACTGCAGTCTACTGAGGTGTCTCACTATTCTGTTTTGATTGTTGAATCTACAGGTGAAATTTCGGCTTATCAACAATTACGTTCAGTGCCTGGCTCATAGTAGTTTTAACACTGTTTGACTTGTGTCTTAAATATCTTCTTTACTGCTTATTGATAGCTACTAAAAATATCGCTGTTTTCGGTACTTCAGATTTCGCATATTGGATTTGTCGTTTCTATGTTGTTCTAGTTTTTAAGGGTGTTTTTACTCTGAAACTCAATGATAACTTGTTTACTCAGCCCTGTGCAACTTAAATATTTTAGTGACTTTGATTGGAAAATATCTCTAATGAAATTAGTAATACGTTGATCTACTTTACTAGTTTACCTGCAACTCAAGTGTAATGTATTGAGAAGTTTGATGTTTTGGATGCTATCTTGAACAATACTATCTTGTTAAGGCCAATTTTTCCTTGAATTCGTCTCTTGTATTACAAAATGTTTACATGCAGTAATTTCAGTGAATGTTTCTTGATGCACAAAATTGTGTTTCATAGTTGCTGTTCACAAGTGGTCATAATAATACTTTTTATTCTTCTCATTTCTTACTTTTTAGAAGGAGACTGAACTAATTGACTATGATGCACTGCAACGAGATGCTCTAAACGTTTTCCCAAAACTTATAATTTCTGGAATTACTGCCTACCCAAGATTACTGGATTACAAACGTTTTCGTCAGGTATTCCATTAGGTTAAAGCATACAACTTCCTTCTTATTGAATATTTGTGTACAGTCCCCACTGAAATATATAGATCAAAGAAATAATGATAAAGCAAGCTTCTTCAAGCGTCTGATTGTCATAGACGTAACCGTAATTAATAGTTTTGAATAGTAGTAACCGCTTGATTTTCGATACCGAAACATAAAAACCTTAATTCTTCAAGCAATTAGTACAAACGTATCTGTTTAAGATGACAGTGAAAGCTTAACATTTAAACAATGTAGCACTACTACAGCGGAAATAATTATTGATCAGACTTAGTTTCCTTTTACCAAAATATATAAGTTTCAAGATAATGTATGGTCTGCATGAAAGGTGATGAAGACATGTATTGTGAATTGATTGAAAAATAACCGTAGAATCTATCTCAAAGTTGAAGTACTGAACCTATTAGGCAGGAGGTTTTCGATAGAGTTTAATGTTAGTGTTTTTGTAGCTTGCTTGGATAACCTGTAGCACCTCAGTGGAATCATAGAGTGTTCCTGATACCAACCAAGTGTGAAATTTCACACATACACACACACACACACTATATATATATATATATATATATATATATATATATATATATGCTGTGTACAGTAGAAACCCTTTGTATTCATTGTGTTATTGCTGTACTTAGTCTCACTTTCTATTGATGTTTTGAGATATGTGATTCCGTTGGAGCTGTACTGCACGCAGATATGGCGCATATATCTGGCTTAGTTGCCGCCAAAGTTGTTCCATCACCATTTGAGTACGCTGATGTTGTAAGCTCTACAACGCATAAAACTCTGCGTGGACCACGTTCTGGATTGATCTTTTATCGTAGACGAGAAAGATATGACGAAAAACCTAAGATCGAATGTTGTATTCCTGTTGATCAATTAGAAACACGAATAAATAATGCAGTCTTTCCTGGTCTACAAGGTGGACCGCATGAAAATGTAATAGCTGCTGTTGCTGCTATGGCACACGAAGTAGGTTGTGTATGATATATTTAACGTTTCATCTGGTACTCGTGCACTTTGCGTTTTTCATCTAACGAAACTTTAGCTTTTTGTTTCAGGGAACAATACAATATAAATGTAAAACAAAAGCCTTTTATACATAGGTTTGTAATTAATTTTATGAAGATAATATGAAAACATATATGAATTTAGCGCAAGATAAGTTTCCTAGCTTTTTAGTTATATCTTATACTGTTAACTCTGAATAGAGCTTGTCGAGTTACTCTTTGCGTTAACCGAGAATTCCCAGGAACATTGGCTTACTGTTATTTAAAGTGAACTTTACCGAGAAGCTCTAGGTGAAATGAACGAGAATGGAGAATTATTTGCAGAATTCTGTGCATTTGACGATTTGGTGATTGGAGGCACTGTGTTCAAGCACGAAGATATCCACAAAGCGACATGGATTTCACCAGATAGACACACTAAAAATCAAATCGACTTTATCTCAGTCTCAAGAAAATGGAGACGCAGTCTACTTGACACAAGGTCAAGAAGACCACTATCTAGTGCAAGGAACCTTCCAAATCAAGTTAAAAGCCTTCAAGGAAGCTGGTGATAGACCGCAGTTCAAGTACAACACTCGGAAACTGAAGGATGAAACTACAAAGGAGATCTTCACGGCAGCCATCAAGACAAAATGGGAGATATCGTTGAACATCCCTGAAGAAACCTGTGTGGAAGAACACTGGAAGTCCTTGAAAGAGATGTGGAAAGATACCTGCACAGCCGTATTAGGGAGGAAGAAGAAAGAAGACAAGGAATGGATCTCGATGGATGCATGGAAGCTGATAGAGGAGAGGAGGATGGTGAAGCAAGAGATAAACCAGTGCATGGATGCTCAACGACAAGAGGAAATGAGTACAATTTATAAAACACTGGACAAAGATGTGAAGAAGAGTGCACGGAAAGACAAATGACACTTCTACGGAACACTGGCAAGTGAAGCAGAACAGGCTGCCGGCTGGTAGGAGAGACCTGACAACATTGTATCAAATAGACAGGTTGCTATCTGAGAGGAGATCAACGCAGATGAAACCAATAAAAGATGATGAAGGAAATATAATTATGAAAGAAGAGAAACCAAGGAAACAATGGGCCGACCACTTCAAGAAGCTCTTGAATCGACCACCACCACCACCACCTGCACTTCGTCCAGAAATACCACCTGCAGCCTCTGAACTACAAGTGAACATAAATCCTCCAACAAAGGTGGAAGTCCTGAGCACCATAAAGCTACTGAAATGTGGGAAAGCAGCAAGACCAGATTGGATCCCGCAGAGGCACTGAAAACAGACACAGAGACAACAGTGGACATGCTCACACTACTATTGCAAAAGGTGTGGGACGAAGGGAAGGTACCTGGCCATTGATTGGAAGAAGGGCTACCTTGTCAAACTGCCGAAGAAGGGAGATCTCAGTGTTTGCAAGAAATGGCGCAGAATCATGCTCCTATCTACCCAGAACAAGGAAAATATTAAGCCGCATCATCCTGGAGAGGCTAAAGGATGCACTGGATTCAAAACTACGACCGGAACAGGTTGGCTGGCTAGATTCAGGAAATACAAATCATGTGCAGACCGAATTGCAACGCTACGCTACGCATCACCATAGAACAGAGTATAGAATGGCAGTCAACTCCCTACCTCAACTTTATCGACTTTGAGAAGGCCTTTGACAGCGTCGACCGAGAGGCAATTTGGAAACTGCTTCAATACTACGGAATACCGCAAACCTTCATCAGCCTCATTCAACAACTATATGAAGACGACACATGCCAGCCAAGTAATTCACAATAGAAAGCTCAGTGATGCCTTTGAAGTGAGGACAGGAAGGAGTGAAACAAGGTTGCCTACTATCCCCCATGATATCCTTGATTGTGGTCGACTGGATCATGCAGCAGACAACAGTGGGGAGCGAGAAGAGGGGGATACGTTGACTGGACAGCGGAAAAGAACCTAGAAGACTTGGATTTCACCGATGACTTATGTCTGATGTCACACAAACTTGAAGATCTACAGGCGAAAACTAACAAGTTGGTGGAAGAGGCGAGGCAGCGAAGGGAGACGGGACTTCAAGTGAATATAGAGAAGACAGAAATGATGAAGATACCCCACCACCACCAACAACAACAACAACAACAAACTCCAATCACCGTCAACGGGAGAAACTTAAAGGAAGTAACCTCCTTCACTTATCTAGGAAGCACTGTTTCAACTACAGGCACAGACGAGGATGTCAAAGTCAGAATCGGAAAAGCAAGACAGGCGTTCATTAGCCTGAAACCAGTGTGGAGATCTTCTACACTGCACTCAGCATGTGGAACAACATCCGGATTTTCAACACCAACGTCAAGTCAGTCCTTCTGTATGGTTGAGAGACTTGGCGTGTCACGAAAGGGATTTCCAATAAACTACAGACATTCATCAACAACTGCTTACGCTGGCTCGCTACTGAAGATCAGATGGATTGCCAGAAAGAATAAGCAACAAGGAGCTCTGGAAACGAACCAACTAAGAAGCTATCGCTCAACAAATATAAAGAAGAAAGTGGAGATTGGTTGGGGATACGCTGAGAAGGCCGATTGGGGACATCACGTGTCAGGCCCTCGAGTGGAATCTCCATGGGAAGCGACGAGTTGGGCGTCTGAGGTGAGGGTGACATGGAGGAGATCGTGCGAGGAGGAAATGAGAGGTTGTGGGCTGTCGTGGAGCCAGGTTCAAAAGATTTCAGAGAACAGAGCGCATTGGAGACGTGCTACTGAAGCCCTATGTTCCATTAGGAACCCAAGGAACAAATGATAATAATAATAATTACCTATTCAACTTTCTACTTATTTATTCAACTCAACCTTATACAAGTTTATTTACCAGATTATAAATAAGACTGATTGTACGAAGGCTTATGATGATATCATGTTGCCCATACCGAAGTAGCTGGAAAGTAGTTTGAAAGCTCCACGACTAAACAACCCAGCTCATGAGAGCACAATACAACCAAGTAGTTTGAACCTACTAGTTGAAGGTTGACTGCCCAGGTCAATAAGCTCTATCTCCACTGTTTCTTCAACTGAAAATATCAGTTGAGTGTAAATCTATGCTCTTCTATTTTAGCTTTATATTATACATTTAATAAATGGTCAACAGTTTAACGTTAGATATTTGACTTAGTCTTTACTGTAAGAGTAGAATTTGAACACTGTAGTAGAGTTTAAGTTCACTGCACAAAGTGATACAAGATAGTCACCTACTGGACAAATAGTATCATGTAACAGTGTGCTTTTGAGCTGTGAATCTTCTTTGTTCTTATAGATTAATAGTTAAGAGATTTAATTGTTGAGAAGGTTTCTTGCAGTTTCTCTTCGTTTCCCTCAACGATTTGACTGGATGTTTTTAGGGAAAGTATTATATGGACTTGTGCGTTACTTCAGTCTGTGGATATCTTCTCATACCACCGAATGCGACAGCAGTGATGATATCTGTTATATTAGTAGAACATTTTTCCACTGAGATATCGAACCCAGTAAAAAAATTTTCATTAGGATATGGATTCATTTCATGTGACCTAAAAACCAGTTGTTTAGAATGCTGAATATTATGAGTTTAATTCTTGACAATCGATTTATTCAGCAAACAGAATTATTAGCTCAAGTGTAAAAAGATTAAAATTAGTTAGTTATGTCGAAAAAATATTTACGTATACTATCCGAAATGAAGTGATTGTGGATTGCCTCTGTATAAATCTAATCCAAGTTGTGTGCTCGAACTCACGCAACCGTGTTAGACTTTATGAAGAGTTGCCATGTGAATTGACGACAACCAGTGGTGTCCGCCAGGGATATCCGCTGTCACCGTTTCTATTTAACTTCTTTATAAACGTACTGATGGACATAACCTTAGGTACATCTGATTTCACAGGGATTGATCTACTCGCTGGAGGTCGTCTGGTTGACTTGGAGTGTACAAGTGATATTGTTTTGCAAAGTGAAGACTGACAAAATGCAGCGTCGTTTGAATGTGTTGAGCAGAAATCTGAGTGTGTTTGGCTAACATACCTTTTGCTGTTTTCAAATGCAAGGTGATGCTTTAGGACTGGTCTGCAGATACTGCTAGTTTAATTATAGGAAGTGAAGTTGTAGTATGTGTGAACCACTTTTGTTACTTGGGAGTTCCATCATATCGAAAGGGCTGGTTGCTGGCGAAATCTCAGATCAGATATAGGTCCGTTTGGCATTTGCTAACTTGTGTCATCTGTGTCGGCGACTGGCGAGATATCCGACTACCTATTAAAGGGAAAGTATACTGCACTACAGTACGTTCTGTCTCGTTATACGGTTGTGAAACATGGCCATTCGAATTAGAAGATTTGAAAATGCTACACGTTTTTGACCTCAGGTGTCTTGGTGGCATAATTCTCGTAAGATGAATTCATTATGTGAGTAATGTTGAGGGCAGGCAGAAGTGCTACGCAAGACAGACATCTTGGTCGATGAGGTTGGAAACTTCATATGCTGAAGTGGCTTGGATATGTATTGCGCATGCCGATTAAACATCTACTTCGATGTTACTTGCTAGTGGAATTTAAATTAAGTTGTAAGAGGGTTCAGGGTGACCAGACCAAGATATGCCACCGGTTTATGAAGTCCCTAACTGTTGGTCTAAGCCATGTGGGAAATGTCGACTACCTCGCTGGGGTCCCGAGACGATGGGTTCCAGTGGTTTTAATTTCCTGGTTAAATCGGTTATAATGACTTAGATGTATTTACTTTTTGATGTCTTCTAAAGCCTGAATATTTTGACTAATCTCAGTTTCTAAATTCTCCCCCCCCCATACAGCTTTTTCTTTCCTGTCCAGTTGTTCTTTGTGTACTGCTGTGAAGTGTGCCACGTTGGACCGATGCATATGTGGGGTAGGTTCTACATGGATTTTATTTGTCTGCTTTTGTATACTTGCTTCCGGACATGATTGTT